ACCGCGGTGGAGATGGGCCAACAAGCAACTGACACTGGCTGGATGTTTGGTCATGCAAGGTGATGTTTAATTCATGCAACGCTGTACACTTGCAAGGTGGGGATCATTTTTCGGCACCCCTTGGGTTGGTGGAAGCGACCTTTCTTTTTCTACAAGCTTTTCGCGATGTACCCAGCTTTTGATTCAAGTCGTCCAACTTGGATGATACAAACTGCATCTTGGATGATACTTTCCATCTTTGCTGGTCTTATCTATCAATAGTCATCCATGATCAGAACACTTCAAACACAGCAGGAAGACGTGCTTCGGCCCATCTACTTGAGAACAACTCGATTTGCGTGCTTTGCCAACTGCCGCAGCTGTGCCAGGTGAGATGGCTAGTGCATGACCTCTGTATCAGTGGCCAGGAACCAAAAGCGGTGCTCTTCAGTCGGTTTACCCAAGTTTGGTGGACAGGCGTGTATTTTATACATTATGATGGTCACCAGTTTTGGAACTAAGAAAGGTTTCACATTGTTTGTTTCCACACAGCTCCGGTGGTGGTCTTGGAGGTTTAGGGAGCACTCCTTTTGTTGGACAGTTGAGGATGAAGATATTCCCCGTCCTTGAAGATAGGCATGGCCACATGGCCTGAGCAAATCAGCGGGCACTCTTGGATGATCACTCTCGGAGTTGAGTTGACGGGTTTGTGCGCAATGGTCAGTGCCATACAAGCTCCACATGTATACTGTAGATTTTGGGAGGGTGCTGACCATATTTAGGGGCTGACGTCCAACAGCGGGCCAGCAGGAGGCTGTAGAGACATGCAGGGTGGGGGGGTGTACTGTGCGATGTATGTGCAACGTGGCTGGAGGCACAGGGCGCGTTACAGCCGCGCGGTGGCGTCGGTCCTCGGCGATCGACGTCAAAAAGAAGCTCTCCGGTCTGGTCACGGGACGCTGCCAACCACTTGACCAAGCAACCACCTCTTTTTCTAAGGTTTTCTGCACGAGAAAGCCAGGTCAACCTTTCTTTTCATGGTCGAACCGGGAGGCCAGCGGCCAGGGTGTTCATCCCCCCGGAAGCCTTTCAACCCAGCCAACTGGACTCGGACGCAGGAGCTCTCGGATGGTGTCCCTTGGCGTCTGGATCTACTGGATCTTGCGCTGTTTTTGGGAGGTGGAACCGCTTGAAGGAGTCGACAGGACCGGAGGGAGACCAGTTGCTTCAGAGCGGTACAACCGTCTGGACAGAACTATATACTATTGATCAGCTCGGAATCCCGGTCCCGGGGCGCAAACAACCATGAGGTCAGACCTGGCAAATGGACCTATGGATGAGGAAACTGTAGAGTAGGCGACCTATGGCAGTTGTAGATTGGTTAGCAAGAAGTTGTTGTACCCGTGCGTAGATGATCGCTTGCTAGCTGTTTGTTAAACAGAAATAGAGTAGAGATCTTCCATTGGTTCAGGAAGCCACCCCAGTCAGGTCGTGGTATTCTGCATACATTCTCCGGCAAAAGGCCCCGATCCGAGGCTGCGCTACGCTTGTTGAGTCTGCTCCAAAGCTCCTGCACCAGCTTTCATGATGCTTTGGCGCCCATCTGCCCTAACGCCCGGCGCCGGGCCATGCCATTTGGACCGTGGATTCCGAATCGGGCGATCTGGACGTGTCGGGTGGGGGTGTGGAGGCAGCTCGAGGCATGGGTGATATAGCCCTAGCCTTCAAAGACCATCAAGATGATGGTTGACCTGGTTTTGTAGTGTAACATCCTTCGTAAAACGATGGTTGTTGGAATCCCAGGGTTAGGCCTAGCGGTTAGGCTTGGATCCATCAGGACACAGCTTTCTTTATTCCATGTGCGGGTCAACATGGGTCACCCTGGTCATTCAGGTGTCATACAGATGTCCCACGAGATGTGGCAAGAAGAACAGAGCTTTCCAAACACTTCTGGGAGATGAAATATTCCTCAACTTGGCCGGCCAAAAGAGGCTTCGTCCACAGGAGCCACCGAGCAGTAGTTGAACGGTTTAACCACCACACTGTGCTGCACAGAAGCGCCAACTCGGTCAACCACACGCAGCAGCGGAGCCTGTGGTCTTTTTCTGTTCAATTCGGTGCAGCATTGCCATCTGGTGATGGCTGGAACGATTCGGGTGCACTCCCACGATTAGCCCATGGCAAAAGCCTTTGTCACGCAAACTGTGTCAACTTTGTGGGGTCGTAACTTTGGACTCCTGGAAATGAATATCATACCCAAACACTCCATGGGACTGCCATATTTGCCTACATGGACCCCAGGTCAACCACCCCAATGTATGTAAATATGCCAGTCCCATTAGTCGTGTCTGGGATAGTTGAAGGTCGTCACTTCCAGCGTCGCTCGCGGGATCAGGTCCTGCTTGCGGCTCGAGCGCCTTCTGCCGGAGCAGCTCTTGCCGCTGGACCGATCCCGGGGGCTGCACCGCACCGTCTGGTTTTGGAAGTACAGGTATAGCATGAGAACAGGTTTGCCGCTGTTGAAGAGGTTTCCTCAGCCATGGTTTGCGCTGTTGCCTCGATTTCCTGCGGACCTCCCCAGCCCGGCGCAGCCCTTTTGCGCCTTCGCCCAGCGGCTCAGGTCCAGCCCGGCGGAAGGCTGGGATGTCACCGGGGTTCCGAGAGGTCGGGGAAGGAGCCCGACGGCGGATTCGAAGCGAAGCGAAGCATCCGCAACGCGGAGGTTGAAGGACCGAGTTAGGAAAGACGATCCCCGTTGGGTACCCCAGCGTAGGGTCCTCTCAGGTGACCTGTCGTCATCTCGTATGGTCCTTTGGAAAAGATGCGATAGCTGAGAGTGTGCATGCCGCATGCCCTTTTTGTCTGACGTCTTTGGATGGTGAACTGAAAAACAGAACCGAATGAGCTGCTAAGGTTCTTAATTAGGGGTCTTTGCACCACCCCAGTTGGGGGAGGTGGTGTTCAGGTCCGACCGCCAATCCGGAGAAATCTTTGTGGAATGAAACAGCTGCGCACTTTTTGTGGAGTCCATGGGCAACAGTGCAAGATTTGTTATGAACCCCCTGGGCAGAGTTGTTCGGTCGCCTTTCTGACTGTTGCTTCTCTCGGGATCCAGTAAAGGAAGCCGACCTCACAGTTCCAGTGCCACCTTGACAGAGCTCCAGTGTGGGCTTGCATGTTTGGGTCTTCTCAGGGTGTGAGGATGGACGAGTGCCGTCGCCTCGCTTCTTCCGGTAATTATGTGGATCGGAACTCACAGGCTTCAATCTCCAGCATCAGATCCAACATGAACCCGTCCAGTCAATTATAAGAACCTGCAGCTCTTTCTTTCTTTGAAGGCACATATGCTGCCGTCTGCTATTTAGTCTCTAGCTCCCAGTGGCAACAACAAGTTCTCTAAGCCTCTGGTTTCGGGATTTCCATCTTGCCGGACACCATCTTGAGGTGATGCTGCCTTGGTCCTGCGTGGGACTTTGCAACTGCTGGGCGCTGCACCCGGGCAGGCGATGGTGTGAAGCCAGGGAGTTGAGGAGGGCATTGAAGTGATCAGATGTATACTGTGATATCTGTGATTTCACTGGCCGGGTGACGAACAGAGGATGGCTTTCTCTTTCCCTTTGGGAGATGAGCCGAGCGAATCTTCAGGTGTTGTTCTGATTGGCCGGACAACCAAAGTGAAGGTAGATGACCAGTCCGTTTCAATCCTTTCAGGGTTGATGTCCGATGTGGTGTCTTGGTGGGGTTTGAGCACGATGAGCTGGGAAGTTTTCAGCAAAAGGTCGGTTCCTTTGAACTCTCTCTCATCGCCTCAGAGGATCCCTGCCCCGAAATCCCAGCCGTTCGCGGCAACAAGTTCGCACGACTGTCCGCGGACGGCAGGAAGTGCTTCTGCCGACCGGGGGTGAACTGCCGTGGTGTCTTGGACGAAAACCCCGAGCTGCAAGCTTTGCGGAGGAATTGTTCGGACGTCTCGATGATGGAAAGCCTGAGAGCCTGACATACAATCAAATCACAGAGTTTGGTGCATCCTAGGAATCCTAGCAATTTCGGGACCCTCCACCAGCAATTCTCAGCCAAAGCCACTTCCCCATTTCTCAGCCAATGTCAGCGTCAGCCTCCACTCGTCAGCCTCCACTCGCGGGGCGCCACGCCTCAGGTGCCGGGCGGCGGGTGGCATGGAGGGCGCTGAGCTGCTGATGCTGCGAGGGAAACACCTTCAGGAGGCGCGACCGGGACGGTGACGACTGGGTCACCGACCGGTGGAAAGGCCGGATCGACCGGTGACGACCGGGGTCACTTTGCGCCGCGTGGAACCGCGGGTCTTCCGGTGGACTGGTCTGAGAACACGGCTATGGAAGGCTTCCGTTCTCCTTATACCAAAAACCTATTGTCCAAGATTTTTTTTAAACAAACACTTCTAGGTTCAAGTTCTGTTGGTCGCAGGCGATTTCCTTTGATCTTTCTATCGGCTCGAACGCCAAGGCCGTGGAGGCCGAAAGCCGGCAGGGCGCCTGGCGCGCACAAGCGCGTGAGGCGGGCGTGGGCGACTTTCAGAGTGGTTGAGTGGTCAGGGCATGTCTTTTCTGTATGAGATGTGAAACTTGCCCACTGGGAGGGATCAGTTGGTTCTGCTTGAGGCTGTGCCTCAGTTCTTTTTGTGTCGTTGGGATGACTCGTACCTGGTAGTAATGTATAGTAATAGTAATCATAAATAATACCGTCCATGTCGACCTACAGCATGGGCCTCTTCCGGGCCCCCATTCCAAATGAGCACACCCCGTCTCCACCATCGGTCATAATGGCGACCAGAGACGGTGGCCGAGTCGCTTTCTTCCGTTTTGACACGCTTGTCACAACCTGCGTGGAGCTGGATTCTCGCGCAGAAAGTTTTGAAAGTCGCAAGAAGAACAGTTGAGCCGGGCCAGTAGAAAAGTACAGTATGACAATTGTCACCAATGAACATGACATATGTTGGCAGACAGTTATGGTGATGAACCAGAATCAAAGTAGTCATGCTTGATGGCAAGCCGACCTATCCTGTAGGAAGGAGCCAAGAACGGCTGCAGATTTGTAGCCATGGGCCAAGACCAAAGCTTGGGCCGCGGAGTTGAATCTTGGGCGCACGGTGGCTATCGCCAGTGCTGCAAGTGTGGTGTGGAGATGGACGCCGCTGATTGTCGGGCCAGCGCGCTCTTTGGAGGCGGTGAAAACCATTGCTATGTTCTTTGGAACACAGCTTCAGACCACGTCACTTACAACATGAGTGCAGGCATAAGCGCAGAAAAAGGAATTCAGGCTGGTGAATCCGTGTCCATAACACCGGGGGCTAAGCTGGTCAAAATGATCATCAAGGGAGAGTGTGCAACCGCTGATGGGAGACAATCGGATCCATATTGTGTTGAGTGCTTCCACAAGGATGATCCAAACAACGAGAAGATGCTGGCATCAGTGTTGGCGCACACCAAAGGACATGCGTATGTGATTAACATGAAGTACTCTCTGGTTGTGCCTCATTACGGCGACATGAACTGAGAAGCCCTGGCCGGAGCATAGGTCTTAGCTGCCGCAGGCATCAAGTTGACGTTCTCTTTAAGTGAACTTGCTACGTGCTGCCTGACGAGAAAACTGAAGTTTCACAATGAAGCAACTTCAGGCGTTGGAAAACAGCAGGGGGACTGCAACAGAACTTGACTAAACAAAGGCATCAACTTGGACAGAGACGGTTTCTGTTCTCAAACAGATCGAAGAAGGGACATCGCATCAATCAGATTTAAGAATTATGCTTGGCATCCGGCTTCTAAGAGGCCCCCCACCCCCAAAAACCTCAGGTTTGCTCACTCTTCGAAGCTTCATCGTCACCTCGTCTTCTTCGACACACCCATGTCAACACCGCGCTGGTGGTCCCATGTCCGCGCGGGACCGGGTCCCGGTCCACCGGCCCCACCCGGCAGGTCTTGCGAAAGACCGAGAAGATGTGCCGGCAGGTCTCAGATCTCCAGGCGTCGTCTGCCGACCGAGCCGGGAGACGACACCACCGGTTTCGGAGCCCATGGCAAGGTGAACCCTTACCGCGGCAAGCGAGGGTGAGTGTTTTTTTCCAAATGGAAATAGACATGACCAGCGGTTTTTTTCCAAATGTTTCAGTGGGGATGGCACCACCTTCTATCTATTTGGGGTCTGTTCCTTCTATTTGGGTAATGGTTTTTCCAGGGTCCGTTCCTTTTGACGGACCGGGTCACCGTGAGGATTGGCGTGGAAGGAATTGGGTGACACGACGGGCACACACACTCAACGACCAACCGAAGCATTTTTCGAGAAACCAGGCCCTTCTCAACTTGCCCGCCTCCACAGGTTCTGAAGCAGTACTTGGCTCCTTGATGCACTTGGGCCGGGGAAATGAAACAGATGTCTGTGGTCAAGGCTGTTGATATTTGATGTTCTTCGAGGAACAGCTAGTTTTCACCCATCCTCATGCTGCAAAATATTCCTACGCAATAGGCAACTACTGAACGCTTGTTCCTTTTCTGGATCCAAACGAGATGGGGAGTGCTCCAAAAGCATCCAGATGAGAGCCAGGTCCGTGGATGTCACGCTTCAGAGCCCTCAGTCGTGACTCCTTGATTTGGCTCGATGACTGTCGCAGCATCTGGCTGCATTAGGCTTCATGTTTGTACAAGCCTGTCCTCGGTTTCACGAGACACCCTCAGATTCAAACCATGTCAACAATGTGGCCCTGCAGGAAACAAAAATATGATTTTGTTCATGCCAGAAATCCGGTTGTATGTGGCGGTTAACAGCAATCTCCATGGTGATTGACTGTGGCCGCAGCCCAAGACTCTTCCCTCATTCTGCACTGGGCCCTGTTAAGCCTGTCACCACCCGAGCTCAAGAAGCCCAGGCTGATCATTCTCAAGATATCCATAGAATCCAGACCTCAACGAACCGCAGGAAACCTCATTTATGGACCAATTCCCAAAGCACACTTTGGGGTGGAGCATCCTCCACCATCCAACTTTCGCAGCTGAGTGGAGAGTCTCCAAATTCCGACTCTTCGGGCCCCCGCTTCGGATGGGGGAGGAGTCCTGGTGATCAAGCCTGGATGGGGGACAAACAGCGCTCATGTAGACTCTTGATCAACACACATTCCCAATTGAATCACCTCTTCATGTGGCGGGTCTATGTACCTCAAGAGTCTACATTCGGGGACTATAATCGAAGGATGTCAAAGCATGTTTGGTTGACCTACCTGGAAGTTCAAGTTACAGTACATGATGGACCAGGGCTCCATTGACCCATGGAAGGGATGTCAATGTCCATCCACTCCTCTACTCTTCCGAGGATGTTTTGCCTCTCTTCCATGGCCTCCCAGACGCGCAGCTCTTCCGGCTTTGTCAGCACTTGGAACTTCTTCCAGTGATCGCGCAGGGGCAGCGCCACTTGGCAGACTTAGGGCCCGGGCTTGGGGAAGTTATGAAACAACAGGCTTTATGTAAGGATGATTAAGGATGTAGATGCATGGAGAATGTTGTAGTTGCATTTCTTAACTTGTCATTTATAGACTAGACTCTTTTTGAAGAGCTGCACCGGAAAGAGCTTTGATGAAGTTTGGAAACAGGACATTCAAAAGCCGAGCCAAGAAAGATCGATTTCATTTCCCCTGGTGCCCGATCTCTTGAATTGTTCCCCTTTCGAGGGGTTTGAGGACGGGGAACTGGACCTATACAGAGTGAGACCTGTTCGAGTCATGGACCTGTTCGACATGGAAAGCGACGAAAGCAGCTCCGACACATGGATGGCCTGTTCCATGGGACCGTGGTGGGAGGGAGGGTGCAGTGCTCACCTGGTGATTTGGTCCTTGAGGTGTCGAATTGGCCGGATTTGGTTGTAAGAACTCACTTGTAGTTGCCTGTAGTTGTCTCAACGACATGGAAGAACCCCCAAATTACCAGGAACAGGCCCCATCCCCTGGCCACAGCCGCACCGATCCAGGCCTTCAACACGATGGACACGTGGATGGCTTGCGGCTGCTGCTCTCCGGCACGGCGGCCGCGGGCGAGTTCGTAGGTGCCGGAAGCGGGGGAGGCTGGGGGGTCTCAAAGCGGCGGGCTATGGTGATAGGAGAAGAATCCATGGAGTTTTGGACGACCCGGTTTCCTTTGAAAGATTCGGGAAAGAAGAAGCCTCTAGAAGAAAATCCTTGTTTTCAGGATCCACTGACACCACCGTTTGGTTGGTAGTCCAACCCCACACTGAATTCGAATGACTTGCAAGGTTTGAAAGTGCAAAGGTTCCTCTATCCATGCAGGTTGAACGGCTGACCACCTGACGGGGCGACCTCCAAGGGCTGAAGTCAGGTCGCAGGTCGCGCTGCTTAGATCGTGATCTAGCAAATGACATCAAGCCTCTCATGCAGCAATTTTGGGTTTCAAGACTTGGATTGAGTTGGTCAATCAGAAGTTTGCGGTTCACACAGTTCACACATGTTTACAATTTGGATTTAGGGAATTGTTTCAATTGACCGTTTTGGTCAAAGAAAAGTCCTGCAGCAAGACACCCTGCTGCACTTGTGTTTGTGCGTAGAAGAACAAGGGCTGATGGTCTGAAGACACAAGACTGGGGTTTAACTCCAGAGCATCAGTTTACCTGCTTTCAATGGGACAGCTCCAACAAGCCCTTGGGGCCCCTTCACCCAAAAGAGAGCATTCTTGGTCTTGCAGCTGCCCGGTTTGCAGTTGCTAAAGGACAAGTCTACGTCGGGGAATGTCCAGTCAAACGCTTTTCTGTGCCTGCCCAGTATGTCTTCAGTGGTCTTCAGTGCCCAGTCCTTAGTCCTTCCAGACCCGAACGCCGAACCACTCGTCCGAGACGAACTCGGTTCTTTGCGTCCGCGCACCTCGTCGGAACGAACGGAAGGTCGACCCTCCGCCGAGACGACCCGTGGGTTTCCAGGTGGTGGGTCGGTCCCTTCTCCGTTCTGGTGCCATGAAGCCTGGTTTTGCCCGGGGAGCTCAGGGGGCGATCGGCGGATGGATAGATTGGTGTGGTGGGGTGATCCTGATTGGTGGAGGATCGGACGTGATGGCTAGATTTGAGAGAGATTGCTCTAGGTTTGCAGGGATTGGACATGCCAAAGAATCAGCCGAAGCAGCCCTGCAATCAGCTCAGAGGAGACCCAAGGTCTCAAGGCTATGGCTAAACCCTAGGGATCCAAGTACCTCCTCAAAAGGTACTTGGACCCTCCAAACCCACCCCAAACACCTTCGAAACGAGGGTACTTGGATCCTTAGGGAAATGATTTGCCAAAGCTTCGGCCTGCAGGAGGTCTTTCAACAAACAGTTCACGCCGCCAGGGTAGTTACTGAGTTCGTTTCCGTTCGCGCAGGGCTCTACACATCGGTGGGTAAGGTGAGATGGTACCGCATCCCCTTCTTGAGGTGAACATCTGCGGCATGCGCGGCTGAAAGCTCCTGTTCTGTTTTTTCCACTGACTGGGTCAGGTACTGGTCAAGGTGGATCCCCAGATTCCACTGTCCGAGGTGAAGATCAGGCCCTCTGGCCATGGGAGTTGCGGTTGGGCGTCGCACATCGAGGACTGCCGTCGCTGCTGGCCATCGAGGACTGCCCCTTGGCGGGGAAGATGCCACGACCGTGGCTCGGACGGGGACCGTTCGGTCTTAGATCGCTTCAGGAAGGGTGCGGGAAGGCCTGCGTCCGCCCTTTTGGTGTTGGAAAGACTGATCTATGGCATCTGTCTATGGCTTGGGGGTTTTTATGCTGGAAGGAGGGTGATCGATGGATCGTGACTTCGATGGAAAGAACCGGGTGTCTCTTCTTGGCAGTTGTCATCCCTCTCTATTGTTCCAAATAAGATGCGAAATCCATTCTTTGCCGAAACTCTGTTGTTGACTCCTCCGCTTGCCAACTTGCCCTGATGCGCAAGGCTTTCCAACTTCAGGGTGCGCGTTGCGCTTGCTTGGTTTCGGCGGTAGTTCAATCCTTCACACCTCCCACAGCTCGACACCAACGAAGAACACCCCCCGGTCTCGACACACACACACACGCACACGTTCACGAGCGAACAACGCCACGAACGCCGTTGGAGGTCCGCACGACACGGTCCGCACGACACGGTCAGCGCGACGGAGCAGCATCCCTCGTCTCGGACTGACACCACGGTGACAGCAAAGCACACCACGGTGACGGCTTGGCAGAGCTTCACATGAGTGTCCAGACTACCAGACCGGTCAAGTGACCAGCGAAAATGGGCTTTGGGGTTGTGACCCACAATCAAATCCTTCTTGGTTCCGAGTGGGCACAAAGCTCTTTGACCCGAGTATCGAGGACCGAGTCACGAGCTGGCGGCCTGCCCTGTCCGAGCTGAGGCGAGCTGGTCTTCTTAGCCCGCCAGGCACGTTTTTTCTGCTTCGGTTGGAGGTGTTGCAGCGTCTTCCTCTCACAACTGAGAGAATCATAGAAAAGGAAGATATCTGGTATGGCTGCCATGTATTTTGTGCCGGTCGTTTGAAGTCATTTTCGCCCACCAAGTCTTGAGTGTGCACCTAGTGGTTGGGGTCTTGGGATCTTCCTTCATGCTTCCGAGGGATACGCAGAAATGTGTGTTGTCTCACCTGCAATCTGCACGCTGTGGGAGCTGTTGGGACATTTGCTCAACAATTAGGAAA